GCGGGTGTTGCTGTGGCACGCTTTCCAGATCAGTGCACGTCCCCCTCCCCTTTTTTCCTCCCTTCCTTTAAGTATTTGTATATTGTACCAGCCAATTGCCTCCAGAAAGGTGGCAAGGGCACACAGTAAGCATGGCCTCCCTGCCTTTCCTTGTTGCCTGCACGCCTGGTATGAATTCACTTGAGTGCAATAAAAACTATTCTACTGACAGCGCAAGGTGGGGTCTAGTATGACACTTCAAGCCGCACCAGCGATAAGGCCCTCACGGTCCGAGCTGTCCGGGAACGAACGGAGTGGCTGCTGACGCTGTTCCAGCAGCAAGACAATGCCAACATCAAGAAGTATGTTGTCGTTCAATTATTCATAAGACTTTTAATTGTAGTATGTATTGGATGTACCCTTTATGGCGGGCAGTCGCTTGCGATGCAGTTGCTGTTATGACTGTATCTTGTTGCTGCAGATCAGGCACAGAAGAGCAGTACTCCGAGAAAGAAGTGCTTCTCCAAGAGGTCGCCAACCTTGTACGAAGTTTTTCACCGGCGAAGAACAAACCATTGCAGAATGCTGTGAAAACCACTGCGACGATGCGGCAAGATGGCGCCGCAGAAACAAGGGCAGCGGCCGAAGGCAGGTTTTAGGGTCACGCTTTGTTTACGTAGTATCGTCAGGGGTGGCACTCGATTGGTCAAACAATGTTTTAGCAAACGCCGACGCATCAAAAGACACTTTAGTGAATAGTCGGCCGCCGTGAAGCGGCGTTTACGGGTGGGCCAAGTGGGTTAACATTTTTGTAATGAACCACCGCGAGTGCAGCAAGGGGGTGGGTTAACATGCGCCCCCGTTTAAACAGTTAAGCCCGAACCACATGGGGCGTATTATTCTCAACGAGATTACGCGCATTTTAGCGGGCGTAATCGTGGCGTCTAGCGGACATTTTTTTCGTAGGAAGGAAGAGGGGAAGGTCGCCGACCCACATGCGGCGCTTCCCGTCGGCGTCTCGTCGTATAGCGCGGTGTTGTCAACCTGTAGCTTGAAAATAAGAGTACATCAAACCCGAAACTTGAGTTAAACTCAGTTAGCCTTTTGTATTGACTTGTTATCTAACGCATAAATATGCTTCAAAGCTATTACGTGTCAACATATTTTGTCTCTCTCAGTATTGACATGCCAAATTTGTTATCATCATCATTAAAAACATTACGTGCTCAGCTTTGTTCCTCGTACTTTTGTTTTTAGTTATTTTCAGTATTTTCCTTTTTCTGTCCGTTTGCATTGTGTTTTCTACCGGACTCCGCAAGGATGGAGCGTGAGCTAGAAGCGCTTCTGCTACAAAAGAAGGTAGCGTTGCTACAATTAATGCGCGAAAAGAGGAACCGGAGCGAGCGGACCTGTTGGCTTCGCTCGATTTTTCTCAAGAGGAAAGAGGAAAGGCTCTACCACACTGCCGTAAGTAGAAGAGCCTATAAATATTGACTTTTAGTAGACTTCCGACACCCCCAAAACGATACTCCAAACGATACGATGCGTGCCAAAGGCGGCGGCGATCGCTTCGATCCCACTTTAGACTGTCCGCACAAATCGCATTCTTAAATCTTATCGCTCTAGGAATTACTACAGAGGTGCCTGAAGGTGGTGGAAGCTTTCACTAAAATTGTGGAAAGATTGGCTCACATGAGTAAATCAAGAAAATCAAAAACTGTTTTTCCTGTACTTTACATGTACAGTTAAATAATATTTTGTGTCGCTACGGCGCTTATTTTGGCCAAATAAAGTAAAGAATTTACAGTTGGGACCAGATGCCAAAGTTTCAGATCTTTCCGTCCTCCGATTTAAAAGAAGTTTGCGATTTTTGTAAACCTTCATTGAGAGAATAGACAAGGTTCTCAGTAAAAGACGCCATTCATGTCCATAATTAAAAAAAATCAAAATCAGGCATCCAGTTGAAAACATTTGCGCTACTATTGGACAGAGACACTGTTCGGTGATATAGTCTAAGTTTACTGTCAGAAAAACATGGTTCTCTTTTCTCCAAAAACAAGCTGTATATTGACCAGGCAATCTAATTACAAGGATTTCCTGCTTGCTCAGATGAAGCTGATGAGACAAGGAGACGACCAGTTCTTCAAGAAGTTTTATCGGATGAGCCAAGCTACCTTTGACAAGCTGCACAAGCTGGTGCAGGCAGATTTGCAGTGCATGCACTGCATACGTGAGCCCCTGGCATCGGAAGAGCGACTCGCTATCACCCTGAGGTATGTGTAGTTTCCTACTGAGGCATGAATGGCAATGGTTCTTCAGAGGCAGACAGCCTGTTCTTTTGACCACATCTGCAGTGTCGTTTGAGCTCTTGTTTATAATCCAATGTAACGTTGACGGGCGCGCGCGCCCGACCTCGTTGCGTTACGTTGCTGCGAAAGGAGCTTCTATACTTCGACAACAGTCAAACGCAACGTAACGTAGCGCGCCTCGGCAACCGTCGGCGAAGCTTTCGACAAGGTAGGCTCTGCTCAAATTTTGGCGTCGGCTGGCGACGGTCGTTACCCAGAAGCCTTCATGCCAGCTCCTGTGATTGCCGTGCTCCCGTCGTTGCCCCAGTCAGGCATCGGTCAGGCGGAGTTGTATGTTCGTCTGCATGATATTCGCGCTTGTGTCATGGAGTGTAGCCGCTGGTGAGTTGGATGTGCTTGTGTTGGCGCACAGTTTGCCGATGTCATTCTGTTGATTCCGTTTGCTCGATGGAGTGAGCCGGCGCGTCGACGTATACCTGTCTCGGAGCCGTTAAAATATGTAGGCGTAACGACACCGCGAATATGCTTGAAGCTTTTCGACAAACATTGGCTTCCCATTTCGGTGTCATATCCGTGAGTTTTCGACGCAAAAGGCTAGTCATGAGGTTTGTGCACAAGACATATCATATGTTAGAAGCTGGTCGCTCCGAACCACCATCTACTTCTTTTTCGTTGATGTTGGTTGACACCACAATCGGCTAATATTGTTCTTCTTTTGCTGACCACGTATGACTTTCGTCAGGAAATAAATGCGTTTCTACACAAGTTACCTTCGTTATTTCCTCGTCTTCAAGCACACCAGAGTGCGGAGATATCAACTGCCGCGAATCGCAGCTTTTAACACATTTAACTGCTTTCATCATCACCGTCGAAAGGCAGCTGGGCAGCGCTGCATCTTGCGAACGGAAGCGGAAATTTGCCACCAGCGAGACCAAACCACGCAATCACCATGGAGACGCGCATGCGCAATGTGAAGCAATTCGTTGGAGTGCGTTGAACGACGCCAGACTATAAACACGGTTGACAATTCCTTTTGCAGCGTAACGCAGCGTGGCGAAGTGGACGACGAACGTCGTTTCACGTCGTCGGACGTTAGGTTCGTCAGTGTCGGTGTATAAACATACTCAATGCAAGTAGAAAACTACTTTTCCCCCATGTCGGGATTATGAATTTGCTTTGTTCTAACCACAGAAGTATGCTATAGCAGTAGCATTGCCATTTGCTCTGAATATTAATGATATAAATTACAAAGAACACTTAAAAAATGTAGGCCTTAACTGCATCCGGTAATTGAATATGTTCTTTACCTCAGCTACCTTGCATCCGGTCAAGATGTGAAGGACGTGGCCTTGGCGTACAGGGTCGGGCTGGAAACAGCTCGGCTGGCTGTTCACGAGACCTGTCACGCCCTCTGGGCCAGACTGTGCCCCATTTACATGAAGCTGAGCACTTTATTTTTAATACTGGTAGAATGATGTGACAAATTTAATTTGTTAGGAGATGTCCATAAGCGTGGCCTGCGGGGGAGGGGCATTGGGGCTCATGCCCCCCCTGGTAAAATCTGGGGGGACAGAGCCCCCCGGGCCGTGATCATTACCAAGACGCTGTTTACGTGCCATGTACAACGAGCTTCTAGTAGCAGCATGTAAACAAAACAATGCCCACGTTGCTTTTATTGACAAAATACATAGGAAATTGAATTCCAGCGTGCTTTCGTTAGCTTCAATCTCCAGTTCTGGCAAGAAGAGAACGTGCAGCACCCCCCCCCCCATGGGGGGGGTGCTGCATGGCAGAACATGGCAGAAGTAAGGCTAAGTACAACTGCTGTACTCTGGTACTAAGGCTAAGTACAACTGCTGCACTCTGGTGCATGGCAGAAGTAAGGCTAAGTACAACTGCTGTAACTTCCGAGTCAGTCTCTGTGTGGCCTATGCAGCAAGTTATGAATGTTTTGAGATTGAGGGTACAGCTTCTGTACTGCAACATTAAACCTAAAAGCTTGTAAGTACTAAAGAACCTTCCTTGTCCAGCACCAGTACACTGCCTTATCTCACATCAGGTGCATGCTAATGCTGAGACATTGACACTGGCGAAGCACATAAAAAACAGTCTGTGTAGTTGGGGCCTAAGACTCAACCTGTGTGCATGGTTTTGCATGTGTATCTGTCATTTTGTTTTATAGAACAAATATATAAATAAATTTGAAGCATGCATTGTCTACTCATATTCTTAGTGAAGTTGCAATATAGCAGTCTATTAAGAAAATCGCAACTGCCGGAAAAGTTTTCATAACAATAGCATTCAGCATAGACGGCATGAATACAACAGTGCTTTCTTCTATGTTTTGCTTTTTATGAATATAACAAAATGGGCACAAATGCAGCATGTACTTAGGGGCTCAAATTTAATATAATTTGTCCTATACATTGCTTCAGCTTAAATCCAGACGCAGCAGATGCTACAAGCGCGAGCATGTGGCCCTCAACAGTGCTTGTACCGCATGAGCGCGCGTGCTTGGCAGCGACGCTGAAAGCATGGAGCTCGCACTTGTAGCTTCTGCTAAAGGTTTGAAACCACGCTTTAGAGTTAATTGGTGGACAAGTTGGCATTGGAATAAGGAATACTAAAGGAATGGTTAGCTTGATGACATCTGAAAATGATTGCAGCACTGCAGCTGCAAATAATGATGAATGTGGGAACATTATTCAGTTGATCATCTCCAAGCAGAAGTTAGGCAAACATGGGATACTTTGTGTAATGTTATCATGAGCAGTTTTGTTAGCCACAACACCTCTTTTTTGAGCACACCTTCTTCATAGTGCTGATGGCGGTTGTCGATAGTGGCTACCGCTTCGTTTTAATCGACGTTGGGGCCGAGAGACGGCAGAGCGATGGGGGAATCTTCAAGGCATCTGATTTTGGGCAAGCTCTCGAGAACGGCACCCTCAACATCCCCGACCTGGGCAAGCTCCCCCGGTGCCAGGATCCTCGACTAGCCTCTCACGTCTTCGTCAGGGATGAAGCATTTCAACTAAGGCCCGATTTTCTGCGGCCATATCTCGCCAAGGACCTGACCGGGGAGAAGCGGGTGTTCAACTACAGGTTCAGCCGAGGAAGGTATGCCCAGATAACTAGTTGGTTAGCTTACATTACATGTAGCAACAACTGTGACAACATGAATTACAAAATCTGTCCACATTCATTCTTCCACCCCACAGAAGGTGCGCTGAAAATGCGTTCGGCATAATGGCGGCTCTGTGGAGAATCCTGTTGCGGACGATCAACCTGATTCCACAAAGTCTGGATTACGTCGTCAAGGCCACGTGTGTGTTGCACAACTACCTGCTGGAACACTGCGAGCATCCTGAAGGCTATGCAGATAAGGACGATAGTTTCGGGAACACTACAGAAGGGTCCTGGAGAGCGGAAACGTCGGAGGCTTCGAAGAAGCTGCTCTTCTCGATGCAGCCGACATTTTCTCGCAACTTCTCAGATGAGGCTGGGGCAGCTAGAGAAGTATACAACCACTACTTCTCTTGTCCACCAGGAGAGGTTAAGTGGCAGTGGAAGTTGCCTGGTGTAGACAAAGAAAAAATCCAGAGAGGCCTCGTGCAGAAAGGTGCAATGATGAAGTAAAGCCATGTTCCAAATTTGGTGTTGGAAGAATCGTTAAGAGCTCCAGTGATGAAAGTGGCATTCAACCTTTTGTAGCAGGTTCTGTAGCAGACAAAACATTAGTTTGGGGCAGTCACTGATTCTTTTGGAGCAGATGCCAACATCAGTTAGCACATCACTTGAAAATTAAAAAAAACTGATTGCATCGCTAAATGAGTTCATCTTTAATAAGGACTGAAGGTTCTTTGATACTGGAGCATAATATTTATTATCTTTTGTAATGAGAATAGATAAGACACCAAAGGAAGATAGAGCGTTTTTTTTTGTTTTTTTTAGAAATGACCTTTTAGTCAGAGAAGGTTCCGTTTACAATGGGTACTAAAGAATTGATAAAAAATGAGTGAGTGCAACACTTCAGTTGCGATAAAGCTCCTCTCCCCTCACTCTTTTGCAGCTGGTAGTTTCTTTAACCTGTGTATGTAAGTTCTGTAAGATGGTTGCAAAAACCAGCTTGTCTATCAACGAGACATGCATCCCTGAAGTTTTATGAACCTACCAAATTTAAGACTTCATTATTATGAACTGCCAAAGCAACCACCGCCAAATATTATGAAAACCTACACTGCTGCAAGTGATACGTCTTCTTAGTGGCGTTGGAACCAGCGAAAGGTGAAAGTCTGCTGTTTTTTCAATCGACAGCTTCACAACATTGACTACTATGTATTCACATATAGACCCACATTTTCTTTATCAGCACAATTTTTTAAAATTGAAGATCAGCTTATCATTAAGACAAAAAAAGAAAAAGTAGACCTGGACTAGTATTAAGCATAATTAATGAGCCTATAGTGCTAACCCAGCAGCTCACCCATGTCAGCTGCTGCACCTAGCACTATGATGCAAAGCGGTGAAGCTTGGCACGCGTCCGCTGGTGAGAGGCGGCACGGAGGCTTGCGGCAGGCATGATAATTTAATGATCTCGTCAGGAGTACAAGACCCTGGTTCTCTCTCCTCACAGTAGCCACCATCCTACAATTTGGCCGAGTTTTCTCGCAACTTTTAGTTCCTCACATCGCTGACATTGCCTGAAAATTTAGAATATGTCGGCCATCAATTCCTCAGCACATCAACCTACCAGCGCGGTTGACGAGTAATCTCAACTCTTTGTTTCGCTTTAAAGGGAAGCTGAAGAGGTTTTTCAAAAAATCGAGTTAGAGGTAAATTCTAGATTATTTTTATTCGTGAATTTGAACCTCACGTTCGGTTTCCCCGAAGATGTAACCAAACATGAGAAACACGAAAAACTGCAAACCAGTCGTTGTATCATAGAAGGATCTTTCGGCCGCCAAGTGTGTGTCGCTCATGCGGGCAGCGCATGAGCGACACACACTTCCCCTAGCTTTCACAGTGGGATGCTTAAAACATTAATAAGTTGACTACAGAGTCGCATGAATACAAATCTTTATGTCACGACAGACCGCTTGCAATGTCACTTTGGCCTCACCAATGGAGAGACCAGTTCCCCTTGCGCTTTTCTGTCTCAGCTGTTGATGACAGACAAATCTTTGAGATGTAACAGCAGGCGTCCTTGTCCTCAATACTTTATTAGGCTCCGGAACTGTTTTAAACAGATTTAAAGGGACGTTGAAGTCAATTTCAAGTTTGCAGTTGGTGTCGCCACAGAGCTATTAATGCTGTTCTGTGCGCAGACTGGGTTTCACAGCATCAGAAACCCATAAAGCAGGCCCACTAAATAACACCTAAGCCAGACTATTCCATTTCAACCAGCTAGTTGCGACTTCCTGAAAAGTCAGCATGCTTCCTGTGGTGTTTGACTTTGGAGCTTGGCAACACCTGCAAGGGTATGGGCAGCAAAGTGCTATGTGCAGTGGTTTTGGATCAGAATTAAATGGGGGGGCTAGTTGGTCGGACATCTAGACGGTGGTTTTAAAAGTGCAAAGGACTAAGAAGAGAAGAAAGGGACAGGACAGGAAGCGCTCTGTCCTGTCCCCTCCTCCTCTTCTTAGTCCTTTGCACTTTTAAAACCACCGTCTAGGTGATTTTGGAAACACAATTAAGGGAAAACTGCCTTAGAACAGTAAGCGTCTGTTTTCAAGGAATGAAAACACTATTTTAGCCCACTGTACGTAACACAAGTATAACATGTTTCATGGTCAGATGAAAAAAAAATAAAACCACCATTCTCAATTTCAACACAGTAAAATCGAAAAGAATTAACAGGAATGATGAGAGGATGTCCTGTCATCACCCTTTGCGTTTCTTTCCATTCATTATTATTTACCAGCACATTCTACTTCGTCAAGTGAGAAATTCGGGTAGTGTGAATATTGATGAAAGCATCACATTTTATATTGTATCTTAAAGGATGCCTACGTGTATGTGGATTGTCTTAGGTGCCTTTTTCAAGCAGTGTATCCATGGCTTGTTTCTAAACATTACGGACACTCCAGAAAAGATCCTGAAGTCAATGTATGTGTCAGCCTCGCTTTCTTTGACGCTGTTTCTTCCCAAGATGTTCACCTCAAACCAACTAGCCCAACACCTCACATTGTTGCTCGCCAGTTGTTGAGGTGGTGTGTGCAGAAACAGAGGAAGCAGTTCCAGTCATGGATAGGCCCATTTCTCCTTTGCCATCCACAAGCCAGGTTCATGCTGTGCACCAAGGTGAGGAACCATTTCAGAACTGTTTAGTCACTAGCCAAGTGCTTTGAATCCAATCCAATTTGCTAGAATGGGGTGGTAATTATAGAACAAGACTGTCCTTAATTCAATGAACTAGTGAGGGAGTGCATTTAGTGTGAAGCTGTGTAGGTGTTACGAAAATTGTAGGTAGCAAAGGAGAAGGAAAAAGTCTGTGTAGTAGAGTCTAGCTCGCATTAAGCTTGAGTGCACATGTTAACGACTATCACTGATATGAGAAAAGTTCAAGCTACGTTTGACATCACAAGACTTCATATCTTTCGCACCAGGTGGTGCAAAAAGGTGAAAGTCCCTGGTGGCTATTCCAGAGTGGCAATCCAGCATCTCTGTTTATGTAAAGTGTGAGCTGTTATTCACAGTATTTGCATAACTATGAGAAGTTACTCAGATTATCATATGCAATACAAACTCTATTAAGATTACTTTATAGGGAGGCCAAGGACACTGGATTCTGCAGTGGATGCACTGACATCTAGAATGTCCGGACACCAGCAACAATTGGTACTCTATGAGCGTAAAATAAAGCTAGAGGAGAAGTTCAAGCCTGAATCTGGCAGGTATGAAAACCTTGAACCTGCTAGGATGCAACTTCTAATTGAAGACCACAGAGACCGGGCTCTTGAAAGGCAACAGCGAAGTGATGAGCACAGGATGATCATGGAACTCCTTAAAACGGTGATAGAAAAATTTAATCCTTAAATTGTTCTTTCGTATGGTGTTCCTGGATTTCAGTGCTCCACGACTGCTTGACCTAGGTGAGGGAGTGTTCTCCTAGCGGCTCTTGTTTCTGTAGTGTAGTGTACCGCTGTATCACTGAATGGCACAAGCACCACTGCATCCGTAAAAGAGGCTGAATAAACCTTGAGCGACAATTCCCCACTTGGAAAGTCAGCAGCCGCGTCATTCACTCGACATGGTGTCAGAAGTGGGCGGGATCCGTCTCCGCTGATCCCATGCCTGCGGCTTCGACACACGGCCCAGCCCCGCCGCTGCCACTCTCCGTCGAGGAATCACCTTCCCTTCGCCATGGCCAACGGTGAAGGGTTCGTTGCTCCATTTCTACAAGGCATGGTCCAGCTGCGTCCACCACCACCGTTCGACTTCGACAACCCCAGCTCCTGACCTACGTGGCTGCTGCAGCACAAGGATTACTCGTTTGCAACTGGACTCTACGCCACTCCGACGGAAGTCCAGGTGCGCTCTATGTTCTACTGCATGGGCCCGCAAGCCAGGGTGGTCCTCGCGTCCACCACACTGGGAGAGGCAGACCTCAAGGATGTCATCGCCATGAAGAAAGCATTCACCAACCACTTTGTCCACCCACCAAACGAGCTGTACAAGCCAACGCACTTCCACCACCGTACACAGCAACCGAATGAGGTGGCCAATGCATTCTTCACTGCACTCCGAACGATGGTCGGCGCGGCAACACTGCTCGACCGATGCCGAAAAGTGGCTTGTTTGAGACCGTTTTCGATCGCAAGCTCTCGGACCAGCTCTGTCGAAATCCGCAATTGTAGTTGCACGAAGCGCTCACGCACAGCTTGGAAGTCACTCCCCGATGAATGGCGTCCAAGTCGTTCCCACATTGGATGTCGCAATGTGGGACACAAGCAGCGAGAAGCACTCGTTGTCGGACGAAGGTTCTAAGAATCTGAGTAGTAATGCTCACACACTTCCTGTTTTATTGCGTGCAAAATAATTAAATAAATGTGCTGTGTTTTCTAGTCCTTCCGTATGCTTGGCCAAATTTGTTACCAAGGTAAGGTTGCATTTTCTTCCCATAAAAACTTTTTTTTCTCGCTTTTTGCAACTTGAATTAGGGGGTCGACCAATATTCCGGTTCAATCTATATTCCAATTTATACAGTATGTTGAACATTAACCTGTGCAAAGTTCAAAAAGCTTTGAAGCATAAGCTTAAAGGGGTTTGCACCTGATTCGGGCATCTTATAGAAAAGTCTATCTATGACTTATGTATTCAATTGTTAGTAGTACTGCACTGTTCAAAGTATAAGAGATTACTGTGTTTCTGATGTCAAACAAAATTTATCCTATCAGCTGCTTTCAGAAACCCAGGGAGAGGATGTCCTGTCAGATGACATGATAGACGGAACATCTGATGAGATGTCTGAGGAGCTGCTTGATAGTAGCCTTGGGGCCAGTGATGCGAGTACCAGCGACTGCAGGAACGACCACAACACAAGTAGCAGCAACCATACTGGCCGTGGAAGGAAGACTGGTGGTGCCAGTAATGAAATAACTGTCACGTTGCAGCAAGTGCCCGAGTCAGGGAAAAGGAAGAGACCCCTGCACCCCTCTGCCACCCTCGCACAGTCAGTGATTGAAGAACAAAAGTTGCTCTGGCTAAGTTTGGAGGAAGCTCGGGGCCAAGAGTTCACTCTGTGGGAGCAGGAACTGAAAATTCAAGCGAAGGCACTGGTCTTGCAA